CACTGCGCCATCATAATATGGAAGGCAATCGCCGCCACAGATGCAGTTGCGATTGCCTTCGGTAACATCACTCTACAAACCATACAGGCAAGAACCATTCGTCTCTTCTTCCGCGTTTTTACATCGTACAACATAATGCATAATGTATTAGTTGTTCAACTCAATTGAAATTGATGGATTATTTCTACAACAGTGGCACATATTAAAAACTTAATGGTGCGTCCGAAGTAACTTAATTAATGATAGGGCCTACTAAACCACGGGGAAGATGCGCATTATGCTCATACCAGTTTTTTTAATTTTTTTTTTTAGTTATTCTAAATTTAAAAAAAAACTTAATGAAAAAAAAATTAATTGAAAGACAGTACAGACTGTAATATGATATTTTTTTAAATCTTTTAGAAATTGGTATAATTAATGCAATTAATGCAATTAAGTTAATCTTTTGAAATCATATTTCAGCAAAAGATTGACGACAAAAACGAACAAATAAATCACAATAATGTTAAAAGCGATTCTACGAATATGTCAAATGTACGGGGTTGAGTGCAATATATATTTTCCACAGTGTAATCCCTAAATGGTATTCCTATGTCGATTTTTCCTGTCAAGATGTACGAGTCTGTTCTTAGTACAGTAGTTTTAATATTCACATAAAATAAATTAGAAACATATCAATCAATCAATCAACTTTTATTTCAGATATTATATCCATATAGCACACAAATAAGTATAAATATATAAGAAAAATAAAAATAACCGAGCAGGTGTGCCTAAGTTATAAAAATACATTGTACATTGCAATATTAACAATGAAGCACGTCTTACACCATGTTAACCATAATCTAGAATGTTTTAAAACATGTACATTTATAATGCACTTCACAAGTATATTTGTAGACTTATCAATTCTAGTCAGACAGTTAAAAACCGACTTTCTCATATATTCACCAAATGACGGTAAGCCAGTGGTGACAAAGAGACCACTAGCACTGCAAAACTTAGGTTTCTTTAGAATCTTAAGGCAGTTGTTATAGCATACTTTCAGACATTGCATACTGAGTTTTTTTTTTAATTTTTTTTATTTTAATACAAGTTTGAGCAATACATATTTATGCAGAAACAATTAAATATAATAACACACATTTGGTTTTTTTCGGAACAGACATCGAGCCGCCTGCTAATATTTCCCTTGACACATAAAGATACATGCTGAAGTATAACATCAGCGTTGTCTTTTAAATCATCAGATATAATGTGACCAAGATATGTGAATTGTTTCACATACTCAAGGGGTTTGCTCATTAAAGTAGTGTGATTGACTCCCCCGTCAACTTCCTAACCTTAGGACAAATACACATACATTTAGACTTATTGGCATTATAAATAATGTCATGAGGCTAAGCATGTCCCTCACATAACTAATTGTTGGAGTATATATTTAGGTATATTTATTGCAAAAAAGAATCGCACAAACTAAACAGTCTATTGCAGCATAAGCTGAATTGAGAGACTGAAAAATTATTACAAATTGAGTATACTCAAGGATAGAGCAACCAGAACCATCTAAAATGGTTGTATTTTAGGCTATCATATGACATCCTGCATTACATTTCCCAAGTTTCTTAATTAGTACATCATTATACACATTGTAAAGGAAGGGGACATACCCCGCCCCGACGGACGCCATTTGATACACCAAACTCAATTGAACAACAATTTCCCCATCTGATATATAATGAATAAATATAACGTATAGTGCTCGATACACGTGATAATGCAGAGCGTAAATATTGAAAGTATTGAAAATGTAGAACTTGTAGAACTGCCGGGTATTATCACTCTACAGACTGTTTCATGCTAATTGCAATCTTCAGGAGTGAGATAATACAAGGGTTGTGCGAGTATATGAATGCTAAGACAGGTGAAAATGCAAATGAGTTAATTGTTTTTAAGTAGGTATTTGTTGCTGTGCCTGCATTTAGACAATAGCTCGGTTCTTTTGCTTAGTGTTTTACTTTTTAGCTGTTGCTTATCATTTTTGTATCTCTACTGAGATCCAGCCATTGTTTCCCACAGCATTGTTGTTTTCCAGTATTTTGCCTTTTAATCTATATATATATATATATATATATATATATTAGAAATGGGAAATATATATAATATGATATAGAAATGGGAATATTTTTCTCAACCCCTCACCCCACCCCCAACTTCGCTGGCCAAAACGACGCCCCTTCCTTGATGTTTATTGTAGGCGGTGTTTTCAAGGCCACCTGCATAAAACTCTCCCAAGCGGCAGCTCGGAGAAGGTACAATTTTATTGAAATTATTTGATTTTTGAGGCCCTAACATTCGATTCAGAAAGTTTAATTTTCTCTTTTAAATATTATAATTTTATTAAGAATATTTAAACATAATATTAAACAGGCTTTATATTTGATTGTATTTGATTAATTCAGAATAGCTAGTGTTATATCTGAAATCATGATTCGGGGCCTCTATGGGTCTTGAAACCTTCATAGATTCTTCGGTCAGGTGACGGTGGCCCTGCGGACTGCCCTGCAAAGGGAAGAACGCATGCCTATAGGCCTACGCTTGATCATATCAACACTCTGATTCATCATGTATGTATGTTTCTCTTCCTTACAATATTTGAGCACCATCCAATAAAATCGGGACGCAGCCAGAGGGGGTGGTCAAGGGGTTCTGACCCCTCTCAAAATTAAGAAATGTATATATTCTGACTATAATAGTAAACGATGGGGAAAAATATACCGTAATATATGAATTGTACTAGACACCCTCATTTCAGTGGCGGATTATAGGGGTGTGAGGGTGGCTAGTCACCAACCTCCATTCCTTCAAAAAAAATAAAATAAATAAATGTAGAGCTCTAAAGTACACCTGGAGACAATCCCCTACTTTTTCCGAAGTGGGACCAACGGCGTCTGTCGGCTCATCCGACAGACGGTCGCTATTGTATTAACTTGTATTTCAGCCCTCCAGCTGAAACACAAGGAGAGACAGCAATGGGAATTGAACCGATCTCCACGGTTCTGCACACACACAGTGGCTACTACCTGATTATCCGACGTGCTAAGCTGCTCTCTCAATCTTATCATCTTATTGCTTATTTCATTTCAAGACTTTCATTCAGTTGTCAGGCTTCTATTGCATTTGTTTTTTTAGGCCTATTCATTTTTTATTCATGAAAAAATAAGTGATCAACTTAATGAAAGACACACCATTTTAATTACTGTATCTCATTTTAATTGGCTAGCCTAATTTTTGTTTATAATTTTATTTATTGGTCAATTACTCTCTTTTATACTTCAGTAATTAGTGTAAATATAGATGGATGAGTGAGATTTTCTAATCAGTCTTGAAAATGATCAAATAGATCGAAACGTTGAATCTCAATATGTCTGTCTCTTTTCGGAGTTACCATCTTTTTGTTTCATGTTCCTTAGAACTAAAGCCTATTGGTCTTAGAAAAATCAGTTCTACAAAATATCAATTTTTTTTCCTCCGGAGCCTGACTTTAAGAGTGGAGAGTAGAAAATTGCATGAATGTTCCTGTTAACACACTGGCTGGCCCTATACTCGTTTTTCTTATTAAATGATGAGAGGATAATATTTCAGAAATCACTCTGGTCATTGTCCCGTTTAATTAGACGCGGCGACGGTGCACCGTTTAACGGTGCACCATCTGAGTCAAACTAATTATAAGCTTCAGCAACACTTTACTATATAGTCCTAACTTTAACACAAAATTTATTGACAAAAGTCAAGTTTCGGGTCCATCATGGACGCACGCATTTTAAAAATACAATGATGGAAAATGTAGGTGAAAGGAATGTGATTAAACAACATACATGATCTATTAAAGAAAAATAATTTAAAGCAATAATATAAACGGAACATAATAAATAAATAGGCCTTAAATAAATAAATGAATTTATTTTCTTATTTACACATTGCGTTAATTTTTTAAAATCTTTTTTAAAAAAGAAATTATAACGCTGTGAAAACCTCTGATTTCTATCTTTTATCACATAGAATAATGAAAATTGTGCGGGACTTTGGCTCTTCTCGCCCCCTCCCCCTGGCCACCACCCTAGTTGCACTCGAGGCTTGACTCCCCCCACCCTCAAATGTTACCATATCTGCGCCCCTGATCGGCCCCTTGTGCATGATTTTTATTGAGTGGGTGCGAATTTGTGAAAAGTGGACCAAAATGGCTGCGGGTGGGGAAGGGGAAGGGGCTAAAGACTGGGGCCGAGTTGGCTGAACCCGTGCTCAGACGTTTTTGATATTTTAAGGTCTTAATATTTAATATGAACAGTATTAAACGTTTTATAAGTGGCGGCTTAGGAATATGAAGGGGCCATGTTTAGAGCTGAGGTAAGAAAGTGTTTATGATTATGGCACCTCTAGAAGGCCAGAGGAATGGCACTCGCAGATATAAACGAGAATATAAAGGTAATTTTTGTAAAACCATATAAAGAAGATTAGTTTGCACGTGGCGATTCATTGTTTTGAGATAGGTCAAGGAGTTTCGGTGGATGGATTTCTGGGACGTGTGAGACAGTGTGACCTGAATTTTCTAACTCGGATAATGTGGACCTTTGGCAATTGGGGAGGGGGGAGGTGCGCATCCGTCATACCCACCCGCGTACGGGCCTGCAGACTGATTGGGTATGGCCAGGTATTTCAGTGTTGCGAAACGATTGAAATAATAGCATCGTAAATTAATTTGTGATCGTATCATGCGAGGGGGAACACAGAGGATAATGAGAGGGGTAGCAGTCGGGTTTTATGAGCAGACGCAGGTCATATAATTTCTTGTTGTGTATTCATTTGATATTGATCTACACTTTTACTTATGTCTTGTTTTCCGAAAGCTTCCAGTTCATTACTCATCTTTGTGAGGTAGCTGTCTCTTATACACATCTAGATGTGTATAAGAGACAGGTCCAAAGACGTGCAACTAAAATTCCCAAATGTATTAACATTTTATTTATGAAAAACGTCTTATAGCATTTAACTACTTCAGGAGCAAGAAAAACCATAAGGACTTAATCGAGAAAAATAAAATCTTAAATGGAAAAGAGATAGAATATCGATAGAGATTTGTTTTTTCACTTTGCAGTTGGTTCGGTTACAAAGGGTCATAGTTGAAGTTTTAAAAAAAGCCTTATACTCGATTAAATTGAAGGAAGCATCTCTTTTCTCAAAAGGTGGTAAATGGATGGAATGCACTTCCTGTCAACGTCGTGGAAGCTAAAAGAAGATACTAGTAGACGAGGGGTACTATTGGAAACGGCCCACTAGCCCGCCCTCAACGCCACTTTAATAAATTTAGTGGCGTTACGGTGAGTCTGTCCTGGCTGTATTGGTCAGAGATATTTACAGATTTACATACTTGATACAAAAATTGAAATTTCTTAAATAAAAATTATGTACATCATATTTTTGCAATTTTATGCTATAACATCATGACTATCACCACAGACTTCGCCGTCGTCATTCGTAAAGATAAACAATAAGGAATATCTCATTTGGATTATCTTTAACATTTTGAATATGTTTTTATCAAACACTTTGTACGTCAAAAATCTTTCAAATATTAGGCTATACATAAAGACATATAAACTTTTAAATTTCAGTAAGAGTGTTAAAGTACCTACTAATAAATGTATATGTAGTATAGTATTAATATACATAATACACATGCAAAAACTATACAGGCCTATATTAATGTATAAAATATATACATATTTACATATTTTGTTAACATTTTAAACAGTAGGCCTATATTTACAGGTGTTGATATAGATTATTTTTCACATATAATATTTTTTTTTATTAATTTACAGTAAAACCCGAATTAATCTCGATTTTAAGCACCCCTACTCCCACCTCAAGAAGCGGTTTCAAAATAGCATGAGCTCTTTTCGAGATTGTAGGCTGACATTACATAACTGAATTACAAGAAAACAACATAAATTTAAAACATGCTTGGTTTATACAGTAGTTTTGGTGATTTAATTCCGGTTAATACACTCCATGATGCATAGTGATGTTACAATGGCCCTTTACTGTTGTATTAATATACTTCCCACAATATACTCTTCCATTCGTTTTTACTGATATTTTTCCTGGTAGTAACTGTTGAGTTCTTCACTTATGTCTTGTTTTCCGAAAGCTTCCAGTTCATTACTCATCTTTGTGAGGTAGTTTTCTTGAGGTTCCTGCTTTTCACGCCACTTGACCAACATTTCTAAAATGGCGTCTACAATAGGTGGTGGTGGAAAACTCATCTCAATTTGTTGTATTTCATGATCCTTCAGACCAATGTTGATGCCAAACGGTTTCCAGTCCTTGCCAAGTCTCTCGGCAATGAATAGCAAGTCAACATCAGTCAAATATCCTGAGACAAAGAATATAGTGTCATCTTATTAGTGGTATTATACAATGTTTGGTAGAAATAAAGATAACAACAAAATAACGTCTCATGATAAATTATAAATCCTTGATTCAATCATAAGTTGTAACAATTTCTATACAGATAAAAACACTTTTATGCAATTTTAATTCAATCGTTAGTTTACCTCTAACTACAACTAACCTTCATGTTTGGCTAAGGACAGAAGATCACCACTGAATAATTCCCCAGCTAGTCTCTTGTAGTCGTGTTGCCTCAAAACAGTGCACAACACTTTCAGTTGATGTGTTTCATTTTTGACATTTTTTCTCCAATACTTCATCATATTAGCGATAGCTTTTTGTGAGTCCAGCCGTTCCTCAGCACAAAACTGGTTAACTCTAGCCCATGAAACACCTAAACGGACACCAAAACCTTTCCAGCTGTAGTTCATTTCCTCAGATACAGTCGCAATTATGGCGTCATCTACAAAACCTAAAGTAACCATGACAAAATTGAAGCATCATATCATATAGAAATGTACCATTACTAGGCAGTACACTCAAGAATCAATGCTTGCAAAATAAGTACCATAATTAGTTTATATGAAATTGCCTTCAAACCTGTAGGACTATTTTAACATTCTGTCAACTTACGTTTGTGTTCATTTATTGTTGTGATCAACATACATTTTCTCTAGGACAGACATTTGTACGTTTTTGTTTTTTCAAACTTTTTGCGCTACTATAACTGTGTCTATCTACAATGATATTACAAAAGCCAAGCTGTCGAAAGGTTTCTATTGAGTTAGAATTAATAGTGACATATTTATTTTAATGTGTTTTAATTAAGCGGTAAATCCTATTGAGAATGTGTTATTATCTTATGCATAGAGTTCCATTTTTCAAACTTTAGTTTGACATTTTTTTCATATTCTTGATTTTTTTTCTCTTGTTACCTGTGCAGTTCTTAATTGGCCAGTATCAGTGGTGCCTTGATTATTCACCTGTTGGCCTTTTTTCGGAACCGGCAGCTTTAGCTCATTGTAAGTGTATTGTATATTTGCTAGTGTGAGGTAATGTATAAATTAATAAACTAAATTAATAAATAAACAGTATTTACCTTGTTTTAGCATGTCATCTTTGTCTGTGTGCTGTCGTTCGTGAACTCTTGTGCCTAAAACTCTCCGACTGAGCTGGACTGGAAAAAATAATTTTATACAAATATTGACAGCTCATGAGGGGAATGGTGAAATGTATTGCCCAGAGATGATGTGCAGATCCATAGCCAATAAGATAGGCTACGGTCTCTAAGGGGCTATATGTCACCGTTCCCCGTATATTGAGCAGTGTGTATTTGGTTTATATACCTCATACATAGATTCTACGAGACTTAAAACGTGAAGAAAATAATACACAACAAGCAGTCCATTTAATATACCATAATTATATATTATATCATATTATATAAGCCCTATTGAGTGTATCAATAAAAGCCTACATTTCCGCGACAGCGATATTACTTCTTTCTTTCTTTGTCAAATTATTAACATTGTTTATTGGGATAATTGAAGATCGATTTTTTGTGTTTTTTAAAACAAATCTGTCAAAATCTTCTTTTTTTTTTTATCAATATCTTTATTTTTTTCTCAATACTGATTAATACTAATCTAAAATTATTTAGCCTCATTCAGTTGTTTACAAAATAAATTGTACCAACCCATACCTGGATGGTATGAACAAAATGTTTAACAAAGTCCACTCAAATGCAGCTGGGATTAAGTGAGAAAGAACAAACGCTAATTTTCAGGTAGCTCAAAAGCTGTTAGGTAATAAGCCCTCCCACCAAGCTATACCCCCTTTCACACAAGGGCGGATCCAGCAGAGGAGCCACGGGGTCCCGTCTCCACATCCCTGTGAGTCCCACCGAAAAATAAAAAAGAGGAAAAATTAAGATTTAAACAGAAGAAAGAGGGGAAAAAGGAAGTGTACCTATGAGTTCAGTGGCGGATCCATCAGTGGGCGAAATGAGAGCGAAATGAGATTATTTAACCACTCACTAATTTTGAATTTTCTATTGATTGATGAAGAATACAATGCATATCCCCGATGCCGAAATTTTTCAACGATTTCATAAATCAGTATGGAAAAAAGGCCAAAAGATGTAGACCTAAGACGGAGTTTTCAGCCATTATTACAGAATATAGCACTCAGGTTTTTAGAACAGCTTTCTATGATCAGTGGTGTAACGCCTATGCACTCACGTGCGACGGTCTGCAGGGCCACTGATCCCAAGGGGCACCTTTGGTATCCCTACCCATGGACCAGTAGGCCTAGTGACCTCGCTCTACCCTGGGCCAAAAAGGGTTTGTTGATGCGTAACAGCACAATATGTCTCTGACATCGACCCAACCATTGGACTGAAGGGGATATGGACTACCTATGGCACGCCCCCACCCCACATCAGAACTGACAAGATCAGCAATTTCACTTTTCTATATTTTTGCAGGTTTGTTTTCTCTAACCATTCATTCTGCTTTTGTCCTGTTCTGTTGTCCTGCAAAGTGTATAGACACTAGACAATGCTATATCCGCTATACAAGTGCACAATTTACCTTGTTTTTGCACGTCATCTTCAAATAGTCGGCGGTAGCGCGTCACTTCCATTCCATTGCTTCCACATGGCAACACATCCATGTCAAATTGGCGCACAATATGCATGTGAGCATCCCTACAATCGCAAGCAATGTACCTTGTTAATTCCACGCCCCTTGCACCGCTCTGACAAAATATCTTTAGTTCTGCTTCGAGGAATATCAACACCTGTAGCAAATAGAAAACTGATCGTAAATCTACTGATGTCAATGACATGATTAATACATTATAACATAAAAAAAACTTGATTTCCTTAAGTGTTTCAAGCAATTGAAGGTAGTACAGTACCTTCTTACACACTATCGGCGAAGGTTCCTCTTCCCGGGTAAGCTGAGCGGCATTGAAGATTTTTCGTCTGATGATTGTTGTCTGCAAAACGAAAATAAGCCTCCGTCTTAAACAATTTTCAATAATGTGTCAGACATACCGTAATATATGATAATGGTGTGTTGTAAAAATGATAATGATGATGGCAGTGGTATTGGTACAAATTACGACGATGATGATGATGATAATGATGATAATAATAACGATGATGGATGATAATGATAATGATGGTTGCATTTAATAATATGTAGAAGCCTTTGTACAAAGAACAGAAGAATATTCAACAGAATTGCAAGGAATATATAACAAAACTAATAGTAACATTATTTAAATTATGATTAATGTATCAATTACCTGTATTGCATTTCATTCTTTAAAAAAAGTTAAAATTAAAGTATCAATTACTGGTATTGCATTTTATTGTTAAAAAAAAAAGACATGACAAATTTCGAATATAATAATGCATAATTTACCATTATGAATAAACTTGTCATTTATATTCAAATTAATGAATGAACTTCACCTTTAAGCAGCTGAGATAAATAATCTTAAATTGCACTAATTACCTTAAACATACGACGATGCTTGATTGAGGCTACGCTTAAATCCACGAGGTGAAGTTCATCGATACTCAACTCAACGTGCTCATAAGATAATGTAGGCTCATCGTCTTTTACTTGGAATCTCTCAATGAACTTAGTTACTCCCCGCTGGAAAAGATCATCAGGTAGATAGCTACCAAAATCATGAAAGATAGAAACTGCCCGAATCCCGTAATCCTTAGTTTGTGTGGCATCTATTCGTTTAGGCTGCAAGCGTGAAAGAACGTAGAAAAGACGTTCACCACCCTTAAAAACAGGAAACAATGTACGTAAAAAATTGTAAAAAATAGAAAAAGAACATTTTAAATAAAATTAATGTCTGCACTATGCTGATTATATTTTGCTTTTATCAATTGATGAGATAAAGCATATCCTATTAGGACAAAGAGAAAACAGAATATATTGAAAAAAAAAAAATACCATTGTAATTTTTTTCTCACAGACCAGCCCAAACTTCTGCATGAGAGATACAAAGAAGTCGAACGTTTCATCTGAAAAATTGAACTCCTTCCATAGGTGTCTTAACAGATGCTCCTCTAGGATCCCCTTGTCCAATCTCCTCCAGGCTTCTCTGTGCTTTGGTTTCTGAAATTTAATAATTTTAGCTCAAAATCCTGCTATGCTTTTATATTAGCCTATAAAAATATATCGGGAATAAATAAATGTAAAATTGTGTAAAGTTGAGCTTACCATTAACTTTGGATCAATAACGGTGATTATTGTTTTAAGCATGTCGACTAATTGCATCACATCTAAAACAATAATATTCCTTAAGGCTTCGTCATCAGGAAAGTAAAGAATCTCACCAAGGTCGTGTAAATACTCAAGCAGCACCCTTTGAGCGTCTTGTTTGACCCCACACCGCTCAACCAAAGCAATCACCTGATGAAGAAAAAGCTTGCACCGATTAACACCAAGTTTAATGGTTTCAAACGTGTGTAGAAGACTATAAATACAAATGACAGAGGTTAAAGCAATGGCAATAACAGCTGAAATTCCTTTTATGCAGAAAAAATTCCTGGATTTTTCAGGATGTTTGGGAGTATGATTTAGAGTTTAAAATTAAAGAATGTTGAATAGATGCTTTACCTCTTTGGTTGGTAAATAGATATGTTCCACTTTCAACTTCTGGATTTCTTGTTGAACAAGCAGCCATTTCAAAGGTAGTTTCCTAACCATCTTCTTTGCAAACTTTAAAATCTGGTTCATAATTTTAAAAGCATTGCTCCTTGCGAACGATAAGCTGTTCTCAATAGCAAAGAAACTTGACACCATTGTTTCATAAGGTTTCCCTTCCAATGCTTTCCGAATTTTATTGAATATTTCTTCGGCCTGAAATTAAACGTAAATATTAATCATCAGACATAAATGTGAAAAAGTATTGACAACAAGATCAACTATGTCCACTGCAGCAACGAAAGCAACATAAACAGCAAGATAATGATGGCAATGTGTAAGTGGTCATGTTCATTGATTTTCAGTGGATTGGATTGGATTTATTTGGTGTAAACTCCAAGGATAGCCCAGGAAGACTTATTTCCAGTGGGGTCATTCTGGTTGTGATTGGGCAGTACACCGGGAGACAATCCGAAGGGTACTGTGTTCTTTTACATGCACATGGGCCATAATGCACACGGGACCAACGGCTTAAACGTCTCATCCGAAAGACAGTGCGCTTATGAAACTTTTATTTCAGCCCTCTAGCTGAAACACAAGAAGAGGCAGCGATGGGAAAACCGGGAACCTAGAGATCTTCATGGTTCTGCACACACACAGTGGCTACCACCAGATTAGCCAATTACTGAGCTAATCAATGGTCACCCTATTATCCACCATCGCTAAAATGGCCAATCAAATAAAGTAGTTTTTTTTAGATATGGATTGTTAGTGTACACCCGAAACAAATACTCTTTGTAATAATTCCGAAATTATAATTCTAGTGATGTCTTTGTGGTAGTTAATGAATTAATCAAATAGTAATTTTAATTAGTAAATCATTTAATTGATCAAATAAATTGTAGCTATCCTGAAGTAACAATCCCGAATTTGGGCCTATAAACACATCCGTTAACCATCCTTTAAATAAGCAAAATTTCCGTATGCCACATCACATAGAGAAAGAGCAGAGCAGGTAAATGGAAGTGCGCAGCGACACTTTCTAGGCCCTGGTTCAATTCCATCATTATACCTTGTGTTTATGGATTGGAGTGCTGTGAGCTGTGATGATTATTATAAAAAAACACAATGGAAGAAACGTTAAGGATTTGGCCATGTGTGTTTAAGGTGGACTAAACTAATGTGCTTGGCTGTTTTGATGTTTTATTCTATAAAAATAGCGGCCTGACTGAATGCAGTTTAACGTCATATAGGATTAGTCATGTAATTCAAATATTTGTAAAAAAAAAAAAAAAAATTAGAATTTGTCATTTTGCGTCTTAGCTTGCGTCTCCCTTTTGTCATCAGGCATTTATATGATTCATGTGTTTTATATTTGTGTGGCAATATCAATTTGTTATTGTAGTCACATTTTGAATATATCGTCATATAAAAAATGCTTCATGGTTATATACTTGTACACATTTAATTTATGCGGTATAACTTATTACCTTCTATTTTTATTGTGGTATATTTATGATATTTACGGTACTTTATACTGTTTTATTTTTTACTTGATGTATGGGTGTATAACATAGTTGTTTACCTTTCTTTTCTGTTCCTCTTCATTCCCTTTGAGGCTGCCTAAGTGCGTACCAATCACTAGTACTGGCGGTGAAAGTTGCCCATCATCCAATTTTGAATCTTTACTGTTTGTATATACTGAACGAATCCAGTACAGAATGAACTCAAGGTTTGTCATTCGGTGTTCGTATATATCACCCTGAAATTAAACAAAAATTAATAACATAATTTGAAGAAAATATCGTATGTAATAATGTACTGTGAGTCATCTGTATAACACCACTTAATCCTGATTTTAAAGTTGATAAAATTCATGCAAAACCTGCTAATGAATAAATGTTGGTAAGAAATAATGCTTACAGTGGTTGGATCCCTGACTTTAGCTGGGGAGTCAAGATCATCTTCCAGGTTAAATACCACACAAATAACGGCAAAAGATACCATAAATATCTACAAGAAAATGATTTACAATCTATTTTTTTTACTATTGAAAACTCATTTAAATACCTAATAATTATTTTTGTAACTTAATAATAACTATAATTTATTATTTGATGTATAGAATTTACTCGTTGTATCACATGATATATCGGCTGGCCCCCGAAGTCCCAGATGCTCATAATGAAATCGTTGCCAGATTTTTGCCATTCTTGCGTCGCATTTCCTCTTGTGAACTTGAGTTCTGTTATTCGCTCCTGGACTTTAGTGGCAATGGTTTCGGGGACCTCTTCCATCGATTGTGCCTGTGTCTGCTCTTTGGTATCTGATTCTATTTTCGGGTTTCTGGCGTCAACATTCAATGATGATTGTCCTTATAGAAGATTCAGAATAAAAATTAAATTTCATATTTCAAAACCAAGAAATAGTGGGGGTTTCCACTGACCCTACAAGGTTTTGGTAGTACTTGATTTCAGAATTGGTATAGTGCAGTGTCAGTGGGTCAGTGAGGGAGTTTTTTATTGTTCCAAGTTCCAAATTAGCTGTTCCATGTGGTATTCTTTTGGAAATGTTCCTTCAATACTTGTTCCATGAGCAACCATACCAATTATGTTGTTAATAGAGGTGTGATGGCCCTCCGTGTGAAATACCAATAAATATAATATATTCATTTGATCAATTTTTTACGAAATGTAAACACGTACACCTTACCCTGGTTATCTTTCGTCTCTGCTTTAGCTGGTGATAACACGCTCTTGAAATAATTGTAAACAAAAAGAAATAAGAAATTAACCATCGTATACATTAGCTGGATTTTATCCATTATTTGTCATTATTAGTAGCATTAAATATTTCATTATTAACCAACTTAAATGCTCATGAATATCATCAAGATAGTGTGTAAATCTTACTTGTCTTGTTACTTCTACATTCTCCGTTTCTTGTTCTAATATTTTTTTCGCTATGGAATCTGCCATTTTTGCTTCATACATGTCATTGGCACCAGCTGTTCAGAGATAAATAATTACTGTAATTTGAATAAGATATAATTTATTATATGATTAATTTCATTTCGTTAGTTAAATAATTGATTTTAGACTGATCTCTTTGTGAATGCTGATCTGCATATTTACTGACCATTTACAATAATCCGAACTGCGCACAAAAATGACTTATAGCAGGGATGGGGCATAAAAATCGGTCGGAGGGCCAAAGGGAATTTCTGAATTAACACCGAGGGCCACACGCAAACTTTGATCTTTCCAGTGCGCTTCTAAAAACCTCCAAGCACTGCTTTTACACCACTTTATTGTATTCATTTTATATTCAAAAAAATCACTGTTGGGTCGCATGCGGCCCGCAGATCGCACTTTGCTCACCTTGACTTATAAGATAGGTACAAGGAAGGTTTCACATTTAGTGAAAGCAGTTAGGTGCACTGGAAATTATTTGGAATCCCCTCCTTGACGTCGGGTTTCAATCCTTCACTGTGCATTTCGCTTGTCCCCTTGAGCAAGGCACTTTATTACATTGCTTCAATCTACCCAGCTGTATCAGTTGGGTATTAGAAAATTGCTGGGAGTAACCTGTGGTTGACCAGCGCTCCAGCTGAACATCCCGCTTTCATTCGTTTCACGCTTTTTGAAATTGGAGTTACAGTACATATGAGCCACGTGGCTCGGTATGGATTTATATTACTTGTACAAAAAGTATAAAAGTGTTTTGCTTTACTTACAATGATCAGGTGGTGCTTCCTTCCAATTCAATTCATCGTGCAATTCGTGGGTACACACCTTTGTGTTGGCAATTGCGTCCGTAATATCCTCATTTGGATCAAAACTAAAGCAAAATGAAATGAATAATCTAAAGATATTGCTACTACAGAAAGCATAATATAGATACACATTACTGTACAGAACGTCCATATTTAAATTAATATATAAATAAATGTGTGGAAATGGATTGATATTAATGAATACATTCATTTAAGTTGTCGATTATTGAATTTAATACAAAGAATATTTGAATTACAGGTTAATTAAAAATCATTATTGAAGGCTTCAACTGGTTAACTAACGTAGCGAAAGCAACCACTGAATATATTTAGCTTACGTATTCCTTAAAAATGACTTGATAGTAGATGTTTTTCCGACTCTCTCGAGGCCCATGAAAACTGTCCTTCCTTGATTAACCTCTGCTTCTCCCTCAGCTAGAGCATCATTAAAAGCTTCCATTGCTTCGTGCCCACGCGCCAAGATTTCCATTGGAACCATCCCCGCTTTAAGTATAAATATTGCTGATTTACACATTGAATTACCTCATGAAACTCGTTAGATATGAAAAAAAAAAATTGATAATATTATTGAGCCCTGCAATATCGTTATTTACTAGAGAGGTCTTTAACACATCGCATTTCTTTCCCTATAACAATATTCTTATCAATGGTACAACGATTACTTTGATCATACCCATTTGTGATTACGGACAGCAGTTTAACCCAAATAAACGCAACTTGAAAACAAAAAAGAAGGATTAAAACTGATTTACTCCAAAAGAAGGAGGAATAAATTATGATGGGGAACAAAAAAATATAGGCCTAGAGTATTAGTTTTATTTTCATCATTGAATAAATGTTTTACAGTATTATATTCAATGATATACTGAGTGATATTGCTATCATTCTGTGGGAATCAAGCATAAAAAAATGCTGTAAAACATCACAAAGCGCAACCAACAGCTGCCTGGATCACTAATCAAAATACTGTATATAATACCACTAACATTGGGTTTCTTATTTACTGTGTTTAAACGTAAGTACAGTACATAACATACACTGTACGATACACATAAATACAATAGCAAAATAGATGACACATAAAAATAAATGTACATTTGGTGTTTCATGAATTTCCTACTAAATATACACAATGCAAATAAATATACTACTATGAATTTCAAAATGATTTATATAAACAAAAACAATTAATTAAATATGAACTATGTTGGTATGAACAGCTCACTTTGTAAGAGACGCATGAGCATTTCTTTCTGTTCTTCTCTTTTTCTAGAATCGTACTCCCTACATTCGTTATCCACATACACGTCAGCTGGAGTTTGACCACGCTGCAACGACAATCACATAATCATACCTCATAAAATTAATTAATATTAATCAAGAAATACAATTACATTAAAGCTTCAACAAATGTTACACAAAAAAAAAAACTGAATTGAATAAATTTACATATCAATTTAATTAATCTTTAATTCTACATTTGCATCTTGTAGAGATTCATGTTAACAATAAAACGCTGAAGAAAATCAATGGTTGTTACAACGATCGTGAATAAATATTTCGCCTGAGTGTATAGGCCAAAATCCTATTATCCTTAGTCGCCACTACCATATCGACATTATGGTTGCCATCAATCATTTTAGTATGCTCCTTATCACCATCATTATTATCAAAATATTCATAATAATAATAATAATAGGCCTAATAATAATAATACTAATAATAATAATAATAAAAATAATCTTCGTCATTTATCTACTTTACCTCATTTTTTAACTTGGCATTTCCTCCATACGTTAATAAATAACGTGCTGCATCTGTGTGATCTCGGTATGAATGGTGAGCTCGTAACAACCAGTGAAGTGGAGTATTGCCCTCCTGTAACACAATTGAAAACAGTGTTAATCAGTGAGAGCTCATAACCATACAAATAATTGAAAGCATAATGTGAATAATAATCCAGACACAGTCAACACCTCTGTAAACAAGAAAAATGATGCCATCTAAAACATTACAGTTAAAATTTAGGTAAATATAACCAACTTGTACTTTGTATAAAATACATTTTTCATTACAATTTTCATTCAATACAATAATTTAAAAGTACTATCATGTTATACTAAAAATGTCCTTTATGATGATTATTCCATTCTATTCAATTTATTTTATTGCTGCATTTTTTCATCATAAGAAATTAGGCCAAACAAAAAAAGTTATTGTGTTGGCTACAACCAACCGAACCAAAATGTTCGAAAATTGAGGGTCATCATTTTATTTTATTTTATTATTTACTACAATGAAAAATATATTCAATGAGTTAAGAAATGTGGAATAAGCTTATCTTGCAACGGTAGGCGATGCAACAGTGTTATGCGATTATTTTGCTCTTCAATATAGATTTTAAAATCGTGTTTGTTGTGTTCTTAATATTTTTTCTACTTTTTAGGCATAAACACATCATCGGTCAAAAAAAAAAAAAAAAAAATCCTACTGAACTACCCTTTTTTTTTTTTTTTAAAGATTTTGCCAAAACGTGGCCAACACAAGAATTTTTTTAATGCCATTATCACACAGCATTTAGGCTACATGGGGAAATGCATTGATAATAATGCTAATACTATAGATAATAACACGAATACTAATAGATGTGTTTATTTATAAATCATATAATACCAAAATACTGATATATTATAGAGAAATAAAAAATATGACAATGGCAGTAACAACAGTAATGATAATAATAATGACAAAACAAACTTCATTTATAATAAAGTTTATTTTGGTCAATAATGCGTACTGTAATAAAATTAAAATAATAAAGTTTATGCTCGTATAATGTGTTTTTATGCATAAGTTTAACCTTCGTATATCATAATATAAAACTACACTGATTGTTTTATATGGTAAGTCAATCACTCTCTACTGTACTGCAATATTCACCCTGTTGTTGTAGCGGTCGTCGATTGTTTTGATCACTACACATTAGTTGTGCGTATGCCAATTGTGCTGCAGTACGCACTAACACTAATCAAGTTAATTGTATTACATCAGTGTGTTTACATTAGACGACGATGTGTATTTTGAATGATAAACTCGCCTGTGTCATGAGTAGGCCTAATTATTAACATACTGGTAAGCATCTGTCAAAAAATGCAACCGTACATTGACAGCTCAAACAGGGCTGTAGCCAGTGGCCAGGTTGCAAGCGAAGCAAGCAAATGAGGCTGGAGGCCAGGGGGGCGACGAGGGGCTCACGTGAGGCATTCCAGTGGCCTATGGACCAGGAAAATTATTCTATTTTGACAATTAACTAACAGACCAATTTACATGATGTTCTGTAATAGTACCTTTAAAAATATTTTATATAAAAATATGTTTTAAACTATTATTAGAACTATGATGAAGCTAAACAATAACACTTTGAATTCAAAACAGACAGGTTTATTCAGGAGAAAAATTGTTAATTTTTGTTAATTTAGTATTTTGCTTTTTGACAATGACAAAATCTAAGATTCGATCAATGAACGAAAAATAATATCGCTAATTCTATGGTACACTTCAATCAATACGTATCAATTTAATAGAGGTGCATTACAAAGCAAGATGTTACATACTAGAACTATCATAAATAAATATATGGAAGGCATGTTTTTTTTTCTTGTTTCATGTCAGTTGACCAGGCAATAGTGAAGAAATGAATAGAAAGTCCTAGGCAAGTGTATAATAAATAGGAACCTTAGCCTGATTTTTGCAAAAATCTCATTATGTATAGTTTGACCTACTTGATTATTTGGATAAAGCAAAGCCCATACACACTGAATTTCAACTGAAGAAAAAAGTGCATCCTAATGCATGCTAGATGCATGCTAATGCTTAATTAATTATAAAACTTATACTAAAGAGAAGAAAATATTATATAAACTATCATTAAAAGTTTACCCCAAATTTCACAGACTTGTGGTTCCTGAATTATGTCAAGGGGGTAGTAGGTTGAGTCTAATAAATACCCGTAGTAAACATACAGTGGAATTTAACCTTTCTTCCTATTCAAATCCTAATAAATTAATTAAGCTTGTCAAAAAAGTGGCCAGGTTGAAACCTTGCTGTATTTTTTAACTGTTTTTACAGCCTTTTTAATTGTTCATGCTTTGTCTCGCGTACTCATATACTTAGGCTAGACTACATAGCCCGGCCTAGCCTAGGCCTACATACATATGTAGAAATAGGCCTATTTAATGAAAAATGTCATCATCATATTGTGTATACAATACTAATAGAAACAAAATCAATTCCAAAAATGGCTGAAAAAAAGCTGATTTTCCGAAATTTTAAACACGCTTTTTACTTTGAGTGATTCAGAAACAATTGCTATCACAACATGGACGCCCTATTTCAAACAAGAAATTTTGATTCAGAATCATTAATTTGCTTGGCTTTCACTCAACGGTTAAAACCACAATAAAGCAATTGAACATTAATAAAAGTATAATACACAGTATTTTACAACCATAATTATATTTAATATTAAATATTTAGTTATAATTTTATGAGTAATTTATTAATTACATAATGACGATTTGTCATTCACTGTTTACAATGAATAATGTGTTGTTTCCTATACGTACCGTGTCTTGCCTATTCACATTGCCTGCAGAAATCCTGAGTGCTGCTCTCAGTGGCTCAGCGTAGCCGAGTGCCGCAATGTGATGTAGAATACAACCACCATACTACACAATGAACAAGGAATATGAAAACAGAGAATATACAACACATCATCTCTTTAAAAAAATATATTTTAGGTCATTATACTTTTTATTGATTTTTTCTATAAAAGTGTAATATTTATATTCAGTGCACATTGACAACTCGAACGAGTCTAAACATGAATGTGAATTTTCTATTTAAAGCTGTTTTTCAGCAAATTTTATTGGTTCGTGGGCGATTCAGAATCATTCATTTGTTTGGCTTTCAATCAACATGGACGCCCTATGTTTTGTACAAGTTAAAATCACCACCTCCTAAAAAATATTTTTTTAGCTTATGTATTTTTTTCGAATTTCTTATTGAAAGTTTAATTACTCATAATCAGTGTTCAATACAGATCAAAACAAGATCAAACATGACTATGATTGTTTTATGTAAAACTGATTTTTCAGTAATTTTCAACACCTTTATTTTGGTTGTGAGCTGCTTCTCTTCCTCATTCAAGGCGCAATGACT